TCTCTCTCTCTCTCTCTGCATATATGTCCCTGAATATCCCGCTATAACTTGTATAACCCCTTCGAAGGGAAGTAGTGCAGCGAGCTCAGCAGGTGCTTGCCACGGGCCGCTGCAAGGGGCGAAAGCGCCGTGAGCCACCGGACTAAGCTCGGGTACTCTGAGCCAGACAGTTTAGGGTGTAGAGGGATAAAGTGTAGGATCTCTTGGGTTTATAGGATTTTTAATTTAGTATTTTGGGGAGACCCTGAGCCGGAGTCACGTGGGCTAGGCCCCTACGCAGTCATAGACACAGAAGCAGAAGCAGAAAAATGAAGAGACAGAAGCTCTTCAAAGTGTAGAAGTGTCGAGGCTTGTAGTAAGCAGTAAGGCCCACAGGGCCTTAGCCTTAGCTTCTGAAGGACAAAAAGATTGAAAGCGACTTTATGTCCTTTGTTGGTAACATGAAAAAGCATAGTGAACATGTGCGGACTTGAGGGTGGTTTAACAGAAAACAGCTACGTAAATGAAGAATAGCAGACATGTATAAGCTTGGCTTGGTGCTCCCACGTCTACTCAGGGATGGTTTGCATTGGGTCCTCTATACGCCGTGCAAACCCTCCATCTTCAGTTTTTGCAGACGGCCGAGAGCCGCAACGAATATTCCGTATTTCTGCAATCCTTTTCTTAAGAAGCAATATGTGTAGACGTCTCACACGAGCTTTGTAATTATCGCTTTGCGGGGTTGTATGTGCAAGGGCTTGTTATGCACGGCATAGGGGATTCAAAGCCGCCTTGTGCATCTTTGAAGAGGAATCTCGGCGTTTGCAGCCGGCAAATTTTCAAAACCATCGCGCCGGCCAAAACAGCAGTTGGCGGAATGCTTGTGTGTCTTTGGGGTCCAGACTATAGACGCCTGAACGATTACTAATCTTTTTGTTCTTTTTTACATGTCTTGCAACCAGTTCAAGGCCTTGTTCTCTCCATCTAGGCCCAAACATAGCATTTGCATGGGCCTTCCGGGCTTTGATGTGATTTTTTCGAGCGCTCCGTTTTGCAAAGCTACAGGTCACTCCGCATCTTGCGCTATTCATTTTAGGCTAAAGCGTTTTGGGGCTTAATTGGTTAGAGAGAGTACGGCCTGCGCTCCTGCCGATGGACTTTACATCTATTACATCTGGCCACTGTTGAATTCCTTTCATTGTAGGCCTCCTCGGCATGTTCTGGATATCCCAAACGAAAAGTCCATTAACAGCCATCCATAAACTCCCAAACAGCAGAGAACTCAAAAGCTCGAGATCACGGCGCTAAAGCACATAGTGACGATGCATAATTCATAGATGGTCGATGCCTGTTAAAGACACTCGGGAGTTCCCCTTATGATCTCCTTCTGAACCCCATAGGGGTCCTCCAAGGTCCCCCATTTTGTGAAATCCTCATGTCCCTGATACCACCTTGTGTGGCAGGCTCGTGTTTTTTTCATTCGCGTGTAAGGAACGCTAGTTTTCATTGTAGTGGAGCTTTGGGAGCACCACTTGTCTAAGGTGAAGTATGGGCCCCATATTCGGGCCCTTAGGCCTTTAGGGCCCTTAAGGGTACACATAGGGTATATAGTAGGTATACAAGGATCCCAGGGTTAAGGGCCCGTTCTAGCTATCTTTCTAGCATGCCAAAGCAAGCCCCCTGGCCAGTGTATCGAGAAAAGCCGCTTTCTGGCTCCTCGTCCCGGACGATCTCTTATCCAGGACTGCTGGTGTTGCGGGGGCTGTATTATGGCTTTCCTGCTACTACTATTTTTGTTGTTACTATTGCTAGTACTTCTGCTGCTGCTATTGCTACTGCTACTGCTAGTGCTATCATCTACTTCTACTACTAATTACTACTACTACTACTACTACTACCACTACTACTACTACTACTACTCCTCCTCCTGCTGCTGCTGCTGCTGTTGCTGCTGTTGCTGCTGCTGTTGCTGCTTCTACTACTACGACGACGACGGCTGCAGCGACGACGACTAGGACTATTACGACGACTACAACAACTATTGCTGGTGCTGCTACTGTTTTAGACGGTATTAGCCGCCCCACCCCTACCAAAGATCTTCTTCAAATGCGTCCCGTGCTCCCTGAATTACAAGCCTGGGCTGCGTGGTTCAGAGCAGAAGCAGAAGAGGATTGTGGTGGAGCGTGGTGCACCCACGCAACAAGCGGACCCCTGTTGAGGAAACACCCATGCTTATGCGGTTTTTAAGCAGGGCACCCTCATGACAGCAACCCTGTTTGTACCAGGAGGCAGAGCTCATGAAAGAGCTCCTCGGCAACATGTCTTTTTTGTGGCCCCAACATAGTCAGATGTATTATTTTGAAGCAAGACTGCAGGCATGTGAGACTCCCAGATATCGGAAACAATGTTCAGCCACCAATTACTGACCTTTGGACTACCGCCACTTTTTCCTTGTTGACAGAGGTGAGTTTTGTTGTTCTGCGTGTTGCCGTCCCCTGAGGGCTTTGAGGCATCGCAGAACCTCATAAATGGACCTGAGACTAAGTTAAGCCGGACGCAGCAATCTTTCTACTTCCTATTCCAAAAATGAGATTTGGGCAGGAATGCTTGGTTTTAAACCTCGACTCTGTAAGTTGAGGCTGAGCGTCTCGCTTCAGGACTCTACGGTATGATTTTGAGAAACTTCCGTCACGTAGTCCTCTTGGGCTACTACTTAGTAGCTTACTGCAGCCGCTTTCCGTCTTAGTTGCCTGCGTGAAATGCCTTCCAGTTGCTGCATGAAGCCACTTTCCCGTACAGTTGCTCGCCTGCTGTCTTGGCTACGTCCTGCCGGCCTTGTCAGTCAGAAACACCAGCACTTGTTGCCACAGACATGACGCCCCCACAGTAGGATAACCGGAACTGCATTGGTAGGGCAGCGGAGTTTGCATTGTACCATCTGCAATCTAAGTTGGGCTGCAAAGCTTTGTTGCATTCTGCAGGCTGGAACACCCTGGCATCGTTAAGCTTTTGCCTCCTGCCGGCATCTATTTGGTGAAGGGTGCGTGCTTCGCTTTTGTAATTTCAGTTCTTATTCTCATGGTCATTACAACCCTTACTGTAAACCATCTTCACTGTTTTTTCATGCCTTGGCTAGCCCTCCTCACATGGCTTTTGGATCGAAACATTTGCCACATTGTTCCTGCTGTCACACAAAGACTTCTTCCTCCATTCCTCACCCCTGGAAGCCCCGCCAAAAACAGCATGAAACCTTCTCCCGGAGCTGGTCCTCTCAAGCCTCTACAGACGCTACTATAGCCGGCTACGGGAGCCACTGGAGTCTTAACATGGGCTTCGTATACCATAAGTGATGGTTCTGGCTCGAGGAGGCTGGTGTCTGATGGATGTCGGAGTGCAGCGTTTCTCGCGGCAACTTTTACAGAGACACATTCTCAAATTGCCCCATCCTTCAAGAAGAACCGTAATATACCCAAAAGCCCAGCATAGAAGGATGTGCTGCGTGTATAGTGTCAGCCTTACACTGCAAAAACTCGCAAGCCTCAGCTGTGGACCTGTGCTTGATCCCTCTTTACCTTGCCAACGTCCGTATTCAGAGAGAAGGAGAGAGATGGTAGCTCAAGGCACTTCATGGAAGACTCGAGCCGCGTTTGCCTAATCATGGACCCTGCGCGGCTTAGGGTTTCAGGCATTGGGTTTGTTGAGGGTTTAGGGTTTAAGGCTTTGGGTTTGTTGAGGGCTTGAGGGTTTTGGGGATCTCCCAAAAGCAAAACCTGAAGTAAGACGAATAAGTACCCGAGTTTCGTTGAGACCTGGGTCTTCAGCATGTTCGGCTTGAACCCTCTTTGTACTCTTCAGTTCTACAAGCTCAAGTTCTCGCAGCAAGTTATGTAGGCTCCCTGGGCTCCACATCCCCAGGGTCCGCATTTAAAGGTCCAGCATGAAGAGCCCCCTAAGTCTGAGGGTCAGTTTTAATACCGAAGCTGCATGCACTTGAGGCTTTGTGGTTTTCGCACCGGTTGGTTAAGGGCTTTGGTTCTGGTTAACAGCTGTATTCTTGGAAGGTTTCAGGGTTGTACCCGTAGGGTGTTACGTGAGGGTTTCAGGGTGCTCTGACTCTGACGCATTACAGATATACGGTTACATGGACGCACACTTGGGGGGCCATGAACGAGCACAATTCTGAACACTTGGAAGTTCGAGCTTCAGGCTTGATGGTGCTGAGTAATGGTAAGGCCCGTGTCGGCCTCGATTTCCCAATTCTACCTGAACGCTTTCAAAACCAAAATAATAAACAGCCTCACATTAAATGGGTGCCCAGCAGCGCACTACAACTCCTAGCCCAAAGCCCTGAATCCCTGTCGAAAGGGCTGGGTTTCCATGTCTTTTCCTTTGAGGGGGGGGATGCGATTCTGGCTGCGCGGGTATGGATTCCACTTGTAAAGGATCCAGTCAAATCGGCAGGTACATACTTACGAGCTCTAGATGAAGCGGTGCGCAAATTGTGGCTCCCTTTTTGGGAGCCCCTGTAAGAAGGAGTAGTATCTAGGTTTATGTTAGGATGAGTGCTTTCAATGCGTGGGAAAAAGCAAGCGCGAGGAATATGTCCCCGGGGGCGACATGTACCATCACATGGTGAAGCACGGGAGGCACACGACTGACATGCTGAGAGGAGGGAACCCTGGCAGGAACCCGAAACCCCCTAACTCACACAGCCCTTACAGTTATCGTCCCATTTAATATACCACCTGCAAACCTACGTCTAGATGTTTAGCAGTTTAGGATGGAGGATGCGGGGATTCAGGCTTTGGGGTTTAAAGGTTTGAGGTTTTAGGGTTCAAGCGTTCAGGGTGAAGTCGCTTACGGATTAAGGCATCGGCGTGAGACATCCAGTGGAATAGCTCCTCCGTATTTGATAGGCGGGCTTCTTTCCCATTCCGTGTCATCACGACCCCTTCCACAGGTGAGAAGCATTTCGATTATAGCAGAGTAAGATTGCAGCATCTTCTCCTCCACGAAACACTACTCATGTCATCCCTGCACCCCTTGCATGTTCGTGTCCATTTGATTTGGCCCCACCTGTGACACCATTCACCCACAGTTCAAGGGACCAGCAATTAGGGGTTAAAAGCTACTAAGCCGTGGGAAAATGGAGTC